CAGCTGTTCGTCGACTTCTTTCATTGACATCTTACCCCTGAACATTGCCGCAACAGTCAAGTACTTGCCTTGCTTGGGATCCGTCTTTGTCATCATGGTTCTGGCATCGAACATTTGAGTCAGAAGGTTACTAACAGTCGGGGCAGTGAACGCTTGGTTGCTTCTGTTCGTCAGAGGCGCGACCGAAGTCATGAAGAAATGCGACCTAGGGAACGGAACCATGTTAGTCGCCAGTTTCCTGAGATCCGCATTCAGTTGTCCAGGGAATCGAAGACAAGTAGTTACTCCACTCATAGTTCTAGACACCAAGTGATTCAAATCACTATAAGTGGGATTTGGCTTCTTCAGAGGTCCAGTCCAGATTGAATACAGTGCCTCGTTATCAATGGTATAAGACTGGTCAGTTTGATCAATCAAAACGTGCAACGAGAACACGGCATTGTAGGGTTCTACAACAGCATCTGAAGTACTAGGTGAGGGGACAACTGAGAATGTACTGAATATCCTGTCAGGGTATTCCTCTCGGATCCTCGACACCAACAAGGTGCCCATTCCAGATCCAGTGCCACCCCCCAGGGAGTGACATAGCTGGAAACCCTGCATGCAGTCACAGGTTTCAGCCTCTTTTCGGAGACAATCTAAAACTAGGTCTACGTGCTCGGCGCCTTCTGTGTAGTGACCTTTCGCCCAGTTATTTCCGGCTCCGCTTGCCGCGTGGATGTAGTTGTCTGGACGGAATAAGCCCCCAATAGGACCCGCCCGAATCTGATCAAGACATCCGGGTTCTAAATCGACCAAGAGCGCACGGGGAACATACCGATCTCCCTGAGCTTCCTGGAAGTACACATCTATCCTCTCGAGTTTGAGTTGTTTGTCAGCCTCGGTGTCACCTTCACTAGGCGCGTACGCTCCATCCTTGTTGATATTGTGCTCATCCGTAATCAGTTCCCAGAACTTCGCTCCAATTTGGTTTCCACATTGGCCTACTTGAACGTGAACTATTTCTCTCATTTTTGATACGACGGAATATTCGAAAACAACGCGTTCAATTTTCTCTTAATGGTAGTTTTGTTAACCAAATTTGAGCACAAATTTCAGACGAGTCAACCCGATTTGATTGGATGTAAAGTATGAACAGCCCAACTTCGCTGCACACAAAGATGCCGGAACAAATAAATAGTTGTTTGGAAAACACACATTCCGCCTAGTATAACATCAGTGACTCGGCTGAATATATGACAATGAGGGAACCTTAAGCGTGTCATTAGCAATTATTCGATAGCCAATGAGCAATATTTGAGAAACTCCGTAAATTGTTAGAAGCTCAATTATTACATGGTATGATTGGTTTAATGCTCGAGATATTGTTTGACAAATAGAGGTTCAATTTCAGCATTATTCAGAATTTCTAAAGAAAATGCCTCAAGAAGAGACCACCAATCAATAATCAGTAAATGAAGTGAAGTTCTTTGAAGCCCAGATTTTGGCGTAGAAGATCAGGAATCCTATCGGCTTGAAATTAATGTTATCCAAGGCTTCTAGTATCTTTTTGCCTGACATATCAAACGCTTGCAACAAAAATAGAAAAATTATATATTTACAAAAAAACAAAATCTATCAAAAATTCTTTCAAACAATTTTTTTTTGTAAACTTGTCGAGAAAGACAAATGCCAGCATTATATTAGCATTGAAAAATTGCGCAGACAGTATTCGGGTAGACGCTCGTTGAGCCGAAAAAAAAGATAGCACAAAAAAATTTGCAAAATTTATTTCGTCAACCCGATGAAATAAAGAAGTGAGCATGAAAAAATTCAACAAACATCCGACCTAATTCGTTCTCCAACACATAAAAAAAGATGGCTGCTACTAGAAAAACAATAGTTTTTCTGTTTCAAACTGTGTCTTTTTTATTCGTGGTGTGATGAGAGGATCTGAACGAATCCCTAGAACTTAGGCATACAAGTACAAGCAACTTAGGTATATTTGATTTTTTTTTCAAATTTTACGAAGAAGGCGCTAATAAAAACTTTGAAAACTAATTGCATTGGAATAATATTGAATTTTCACTGCTTAAATTGAGTTATCAGGAAAAGACTAATATGAGCCCACTATTAGCCTGCTCGCTCGCTTTATTCGCTCAAAATTAGATTTTTCGAAAAATTTTAAACCGGGTTTTTTCAATCGACTGAAAGTGCTTTAACATGATATATCACTCAACCTATTCCCATAACTATTTCTTGAACCACACTTCGAGTGGGAAAAGAAAAAATCAAAACACCCGAGGACAAAAACCCTTCCAATTTTAAAAGGCAAAAGCCCTTCCCATTTTAAAGGGTTGAGACAATGATTAATGAACACAGAATCTATCACCAACAATCGATCTTTCATATAACAGTCAATTGGCAAACACAGGCAAAAAATTACGAAAAATTAAACAAGTTTAAAAAGAAGATTTTCAATATGGGCTAACAATTCCACATAGACCAGAGCCCTGTGAGTTCATCATTTTTTTGAGCAGAAAAGTTGTGTCAGAACGCAAAAACGCAAGTTTTGATTGGGTAGAAGCAATTGTTTCAACTAAAAATGATAGATTGGAAATAGATTGAAAGTAGATTGGAACTAGAGAAAACATGATCACCAGAAAATTGACAAATCTTAACTAAGTAAAATTATTCGAAAAACCAGTAGTTTCAAATGGACGTTTTTGGCAGAACAAAATAACTCAATTTTTAGAAAAAGGAAGAATTCCTACATATAAAAATTTTTCAGACAGTTGGGAATAAATGAGTTAAAGCAGACCCATAAACATATCTTCCGAACAATTTATATCCCTGTAGACTGCCTATTCCAAAGAAACCAGGATGGGTTACCAAGGACCATTTTTCTCGTGAGAGATGAGCAAGGATAATTAGTTGACATTTGTTCAAAACATCTATCAAGCAAAACCATGTCAATGCCAAATGTCAACAACAAATTTCATCGGCAAACGTCAATGTCAAAGTCAAATACTAGAAGTTGAAACCATAATGTATTTTTTATCGTCAACTGTTATATGCCCGTTAGTATAAGCTCCTTCAAGATAAAAAAATCTCTTTCGTAGAAACCTGAGTCTATTTGTTAAACAGTTAATGCCAAATTGTGGTCAATATCTTTTCGGTCAACGAATCCGAACGAAATTAATTAATCTTAGACTGCTCATTTTGACGTAGAACTTCATCTGATTACCCTGATTTCCACACGTAAAAACAGTTTCTACAAAACTAGTCACCCTAAAATGCTTTCGTTTTCGACCATTTAAAACTGCTCAAGATCATCAATATTGCCAACAATTTGGCTTTAACTATAAAAATGGCAGGTATTTGTCCTCTAGTTTTTTTAAATTAAAAACAGCTGATACACGAGTGAAGCGCTTACTAGAAAACTCGCTCAAACCAAGCACGTCAATTTGAACACTTTTTTTAGCTGTGCAACTGATTTGTTTCCATGAAATATCTGATGATGTCACTTTTTGTTCTTTAATAGTAAAAAATCGACGTTTTTAAAGTTATAATTAGAGGTATTTCCATACATATTAAGCCTGTATTGCATAATAGTTCACCCTTATACAAAATTCAACAAATTCGAGATACTTTACAGCAACTTTTTTTAAAGAGCGTGCACGGAATTCGAGTTTATTATCTACAAAAAGAACCAAATATTGATGAATTTATCATTTTTAAGAATATTGACCCGATTCAACCCGATTCAAATGGGAACTTAACTTATCCCGATTTAAATTTCATCGAATATACTGAACCATTCAAGGCTAATTTAATCATTTTTTCCAAGCCCATTACTACTCCAGCAAGATTTTAAAAATGTAGTATTATCAGCGAAAAAAAAACATTTGAAATTTGGCATGCATCAAGCATATCGTTGATATTAAAAAAAGCAAGACTGCTCGTATTAGGGCAAAGTCCTGAATGTTCCGACTGTCCATAAACTGTTCTCGAATAGTTTTTTTAAATGAAATATTGACAAACTATGAATTTCCAGCTGAAAGAGTCGTGTATGGAATTAATCGGACCAATTAGTTCAATTGGTCGATTTACCTCAATTGAATTTGGAACAATTTTGTGGTGCGATATAATTCGCTATGCGCCTAAATCAGCATAAAAGTATCACAGCGCTCTTATAGTCACGTTTGTATTTTAGTTATCATTTCACGGCCATCTTTAAGTCAGGATGTCTAGTGGTGAGCGCGTCCCTCCTGGGACAACGAAGTTCCCTGGTTTGATCCCCGTAGTGAAATATTTTTGAGAAATGATGTATAAAAAAACCACCCCGAGCATATATATTTATTACTTTCTTCGAAAGTCGGGAGAGAAAGCAGTGGCTCTAATATGGAGCCTTGAGGCATACAAAACAAACTAATTTACCGCCTGAAATTTCAATCCTATGCTTAACATTCTTTCCGCTCACTTGGATAACTTTCCAAAAATTAGTTACCTTTTCTTCGAAATCCTTGTAATATGTAAGCAACGTAATAAGTTTAATAGAACGTTGTGATTAATTGTGCCAAATGCTTTCTGAGATTAAAAGTTTCTCATCAATGGACAGAAACTATGTGAAACGAATCAAAGCAAAATGCTTATTTTTTAGGCAAGAGTATGAAATATTAACGTTGCTATTGATCATTCAAAAATAGCACAGCATGAATAGCACTGCAATTTTTCATATCTGTTTTCTAGTTAAAGACTTAATGCGAACCTCGATTTCTTACGCCTTTTTGTTTTTACTATTTTACAGCGTAATCTGAGATCATTTAATCTGAGACAGCGTTATAATTCAATCTATTGACAGAAGCGAAGTTGTACTTCGCATACACAAGCAAAAATATGACCGATAACGCTACTTGGAAAACTGAATGAGTAAAATTCTGTCTACAAAATTTCTTAAGCGACGCTCGCCAATTATGACGCATTAGCAGTAAATTTGAAAAAATAAGAAATTTACCAACTAACATGCCTCAACTTAAAGAGCGTACGCATTTTAACTACTATACGAAAAAGTTCATTAAAAACAGCCGCCCCTACCCAGGTTTGAACCCTCTTATTTTGCTGCTGTTCTGCTACCCTACATCTACGCTACAGATCCATGATACCTTGAAGCTAAAGTGCTATTTGTAATATATTGGTCTGTGTTAATATCCTTAGCATTGGCTGTACCTAATAGCTGGATCAAATTTGACATGAACACATTTTGTCTCAAAAATTGCATCGCAACAATATTTGCGACTTAGGTTGGAAAAAAGAGAAAGTTCATACTATAACACAAGCTATCCTTGTGTTATTATTTGTTTATTTCCTTATGTCTGCTGTTTTTTATCGTTCCCAGTTGTGTCGAGCTACCGATTGCTTGAAGATGAGCTACCTATTCTTTCAGTTGCACATGTATATACCGACTAATCTCGATAGCTCGGGCTAGCGAATTACGCGAGCTACCAAGTGATTCACGCACTACTCAGGGTGCTACTTTCAATTAAATGACAATAAGCAAGTCTGAACCCAAGCTCTCCGTTAAAAACTATTCCAAGCATTGGATACACTAATTTTCTTTGGACTACACAACTTTAAGGCCACTACAAACATTCATCAAAATGATCAGTAACAATTTCTCTGACTGTAAATTCAGATAAGCTATTAAGGTTCCCGGCACCTTTGAAGAGATAGTTTTTAGAGAAGTCTATTGGTTTTTGATCCATCACAGTTCTAGTATTGATAGAGACGGGCAGCGAATTACATCTGCTGCTGATGTTCATTGTGCGAATTGCTGCGATGATGATGACGAATTCTTGGATAAATGGCGGGGGTTCGTTTCTGTTGTCTGGTGTCTAATCGACCTACTGCACTTCATGAGTCACTTCCAGTTTCTGAACTCTGTCTAGTAGTTCTGTAACTTTACTCTCCAGTTTCTCTGTCACTGAACATAAACCAAAAATGAATAAATATGAATAAATGCATCCTCAAATGCAATAAATACACATTCTATTTCACTTCATGAATAAGCTATCAAACAAATAAGATAGACGTAAAAATTGCTGAAGAATTTTTTTTAAAATCTCTAGTTATTCAGCGCTAGATTAAAACAATCCAGTATGCG